CTTTGCACTGATATGAAGGAGACACAATAGTGCATGAGCCGAGATGAACAAGCATCGTGCTCGTTTTTTCTAACATGAAAATTTTATTATATAAGCCTTAGATTACGAAGTCCTTTAGCCAAAAGAAAATGGTGATAATCATCTTGTAGAACGAAAAAAAACCTTTTTCAAGACATTGTCATGCTAGGTATAGCAAAGAAATATAGCTGGAAATATAGCAGTTGACAATATTTGGGGAACATTTGACTTTTGTAATACCCAGGAAAGTTGTGTGAAACCACCGCAATTTATGGCCGATACTTACGGTTTCTGCCCAATAATAATCGGTTAAAGTTTTCCTCATAATTAAGAGGGAGCGTAGAGTTTTTTATCAACTTTTATTGGGAATAATGAGAATTACTCATTCCAACTTTGGCACTAGTACATAGTTTAGCAGAGTATTCTGTCCTATCTATAGGCTTCCTTGGTTCACCGGCTTCACTGTACGCAACAGTCTATGATCCTCTTTAAGATATCACTGCTTGAACGGGAATGTAGGACAAACGTTGTCTGATATACTGCAAAATGTTGACAGAAAATACCTCAAAAATTATGGCCAGAGGACGAGGTGATACAATCGAAGAAAGTGAGTTTTTCAATGAATAAATATCCCCTGGCTGTTCAGATAAATCGAGATTGTTGCGTTTGAATCTTTAGTGGAAGGTGCATAAGCGCACGGCTCGGCTCGGCTCAGTTCGTCTTGTTTCCGGCGTGGGCGAGTATCCTGCCAGCTGCAAACCTGAACTCATGGCTCGTTACGTAGGTGTGAAAAACAACCTGTGATAATTCGTCGATCAGCCAGCAACTTGACTCATGCAAACACCTGGAACACGCAACTTTCGCATTCATTCGCACACAGTTGTCTCACACAGCAGCAGGATCGTGGCTTAAACAAGATTTGGGGCTTTTGGCCAGTCTCTATGCTGCAAATAAGATAAATCATTCAAATTATGTACATTCTAAGTACAGTTTAAACAACTTTACACGTTAGTTACCAAGATCTGAGTCAATATTTAGTTGCGAACCTGCCGACGAGCGTCTTCCTTGTAAGGACAGCGACAAGTTATTCAGTACAGTTAGCGCAGAAACTCGATACACGACCTTGAATTATGTAAGGTGAAGTTCAGCTGGTAAAACATCCGCATATTAATTTTCGTGTCGTCTAGGCGAAAAAGCTAGATAATAACGAGAGCCAGGAACTGAATTCTGTACAGGGGGCAGGTAGCCATGAGCTGGTAGTTTGTTTGTTGTTCAGAGAAAAAAGTGGGATTTTAAATTACTGCTCACGGAGGGACCTCGTAGCCCATGTGTTTAAAGCGTCGGTGGTACTAAAGCCTTCCCTAACAGTCATGGCTTCGAATCTCACTGAGGCCGCCGAGTTTTTCAGAGTTGGATCCAGTAAACAAGTTACAACGCCCAAGACAATTATATCACCCAGGGCCACGGTCATAACATGTGCACATAAGCAATGGCCTGACGCTTCCTACCAAAGTCATCGGCGGACCACCCGAACAGTACTGCTTCGTTCCGCCTCGACGCTCACTTTTCAGTTCTGGCTCCGTAAAACCGTGTTCAACAAAA